GTGGTGGGCAGAGCGCCGCTCGTCCCCCCCCCCCCCCATGGCTCCCGCCCCCAACTTCCCTGTGCTTACTGGGTGGAGCTGCGGGGTTTTAAAAATGGCTCCCAAGATGGCGGCCATCTTAAAGGGGCAGCCTCCTTTAAAAAAATAATTTTTTTAAAAAAAATTGCTCTGCAGTGCTGTTGGGGGGGGGGGAGCTTTTTTCTGTTTAACAACTTTGTTTTCCCTCCTTGACAGAATTTTTTCTGAGTGTTCAACTTCCCTGTGCTTACTGGGTGGAGCTGCGGGGTTTTAAAAATGGCTCCCAAGATGGCGGCCATCTTAAAGGGGCAGCCTCCTTTAAAAAAATAATTTTTTTAAAAAAAATTGCTCTGCAGTGCTGTTGGGGGGGGGGGAGCTTTTTTCTGTTTAACAACTTTGTTTTCCCTCCTTGACAGAATTTTTTCTGAGTGTTTTTTTTTGGGGGGGAGGGGGAGAGTTCGGTATTTTTTGTTAAACCATCTGGCAACCCTAACCCCTACTGGCTAGAGCTCCCTTTACAGCAGCCTCCCTCAGTTCTCACTTTTCAATGGTCCTGTCTTAGAAAATCTATTGTCCTGGGGATGGTTTATTGCCCAGTTTGACCAGACAAGTGCATCACTGCACTCCAAAAGCTCATACTTACCTCTGGTTCCTCTGCCATCCACAAGGAGCTCTTCCCCTGCCACCGCCTACCCTTCACAGGGCCACATTTCACTGCCATCTCTTCCTTGAGTTCAGCCTTCTGGCTCAGACCTCCATCCCTTGCCAGTATCTCCTCTGCTCTGAGGGACAAGGTAGTCTAGATACTACTCTCCTCCAGAGCACTCCTCCTGATTGGCTGAAAAGTAGTCCTACGCCACCCTGCACTATGGGGCCCTTGATATTAGGCCTTTAAAAGGAACTGTGTCCTGGGGTTGCTGCCACATCCAACTCCCTTTTCCCCTCTTCAGCTGCCTGGCCTTCACCAGGGCCTTTGTTCATTCCAAGTCTTTGGAAACAGGGTTTTTCGCCTCACCCCCTGACTCTTCTCTTAAAGAGCCTGAATTCACTAGTATCTCCTGCTACCAACCACCATCTACCACCTTTAACATCTTCTACTTCTGAGAAGTTTTGTGGTTGAGACAATTATTGTTCTGCATTTTCACTTTTGAATAAGACCACTAAATCAGCTGAAGATGGAACATGCTTCCAAATGCCTAACTGCACAGAGGGTCTTAAAGTACATGCCTAATATTAGGCATGTGAAATGTGCCACTGATTTCATTGGGATCCTTCATGTCCTTAAAATCAGCACATACTTAACCCTACATTGGTGCTCAGATCACTAATTTTAGAGACACTGAATCATATATTTCTCACATTAAAAGAAAAAGCTCTACTTACGAAACAGCTGGCAATAGAGGACCTGTAAACTTCTCTTCATGGTATCATCTGGTCCTGCTTGTCTGCCAGTTTATTCATGATTCTGTCTAGAAAATTAAAAAAAAATTAAAAATCTATGACTTCTGCTTGCAATAAATCATTTTATTTTCTCTCCTGGCCAGAGGGAGCTTCATAGGAAAGTGATGCAGGTTACCAAAAGGGAAGTTGGTTCCCTAGCCTTTTTGCACATTGCAACTACACGGTCTCCAAACAGCACACTGAAAATGGAATAGCTGTGGTCAGAAAGGTAAACACAATATCGAGATGACAAAGCAAGGGCACAGAACATCATCAGCACAAAGAAATTATTCTTGAATTGTGCACAGGGCTTCATAAATCCTAAGTGAGATTCCACTGTGTTAAGTGGTGAGGCTAATTAGAGAACAGAAATAGGTCAAAATATTCATAATGTGCACTAAAGAGCCAATGGACAATGAAGGATCCTCTAGAAATTTTAGAAATTTATTTGGTATGTGTGCACTATTTGATAAATATTCAAGATAAAACCATTTCCAGGTACAGGATTTATCTGTGAAAATTTAGCCATAAATTTGCTACATGCTGGATTATCAACTGTTCAAAAATGCTAGTTTATCATGGAAAGGGCAGCGGTGTTTACCAGGCATGCACCAAATGCATTATTTTAATATGAGGATTGAAGTGATACAAATACAGTTTTGACAAATGCGGTGTGACCCAGTGGATGTTAACTGCAGGGCATAACCAACTCCCTGCAACTGGATTTGACTATCTTGGTCTAATCCAAAAATCATCATTTGGCCATATGACAAGAGTTCTACTCATTAGGATACTTCTGACTATGGTTTTGGGAAATGAATTTGGGAATGAATTTCAGGTACCTCAAGTATCCATTTGTCTATATAGCACTCAACACGGTAGTATTTTTTACCCAAAGACTTCACACTAGGGATACGGTTGGTTGAGCTATTCACATAACACAAAGAGGCCAGAAAAAGTGGTGACAAAGAGGATGGTTTTTGTCCAGAGCTGTCCTCTTGAGAAGTCTCCTGGTAAGGGAAGGTTCTCAAGTGATGGTGGAGAAGTAGGTTGGAGCACAGCTTTGTTCCGAATTTTTTCAGCTGGTCCATAGTCAGTCATTGTAATTTAGATCAGCCCCGAGGTTGCTCTAAATTATGACAGGGCTGAGGTTGGAGCTGGGTCAGCCAAAGAACCTAGGAGCCTTCATGGCAACTCTGCTTTTCTCCTAAGATCATCAGATCTGGACAAAAGAAAAAAAAAAAAAAAAAAAAAAAAAAAAAAGGTTAAAATATCTTTCCTCCCCTCCCCTACAGGGAGCATTGGAGCTGACAGTACTGAGTTTAACGCAGCAACTAATAAAAATGTGTGCTTGGTTGCAAGATGTGTTTTCAAAAGTTGCATAGATTTTTCCTCTAAAAATATGTAAAAATTAATCAGTCACATTGTTCTGCTCCAGGTTAAAAATAAGCGCTTCTGATTTATTCATAAGGCAAATGTGGTTCCAAAACATCATTGTGAATAACAGATAGATAGGGGAGGGGAAGAGATGAGATTATATTTTTAATGGGATCAAATTCTGTTGGTAAAGGCAGACATCCTTCTGACTTACACAGAGATCTTCTTCAGAACCTGATCCTTCAGTCAACAGAAGCTGATCGAGTAAAAAGATATTCCCTCACCCACTTTGTCTCTACAATAGCCCGGGACCAACATGGTTACCACGCCACTTTAAAATGCTGTGACTAACATCAGATTTGGTACTCAAAGAGATTAGCATTTAAATTCTCACACTGTATATATATCCCCCCCCGAGAGAAGTATTTTAAGGGGGGGGGGGGGGGGGAAGGAGCATCGTCCTGAATTCTTCTCAACAAGCATACATTCCCTACCCCAATCAATACTTAATAGCACTTGATATCTTATAGCTTTCGGGTCAACATTTTTCCACCATCCAAACTACTGAAGGCATTTAGGAGTCATTTTAATATGCTCTGGTATAAATCCTCAGGGCTTATTTAAGAGATGACCTGGAAGGCATCAGATACACCAGCCAGGACAATAAATAGCACTTCTCCACTGAATAAATGCCAAAGGAGTTTATGAAGTCAGAAGAATCATATCTGACTGCACGTGGACGTCTCCTAGGATTGCCAGTTTTATTGCTTCTGGTGTGCAATGGAAGAAGAAAGAGTCCTGGTTATGTTATCAGATACAGCACCTTATGTGCACAGTGACAAAAATCATTCTTGCATTCTTTCCCACCCCTTCCATTTAAACAAAGAAGCCCTTAGTAAAATGAGGAACCTTGAGTGGTTTGTATAGTGCAAATTCTGTGTTCTCTCTTAAAGTATCCATTACTGATTTTTTTTAAATTAAATTGAAATGAGGTTCATGATGATGTTGATGAAAGCTATATAGCACGAAAACCCGCTGAGGAGTGACCCATTTTTATTTTGTCCCAAAGAGCAAGCAAAGGAGAGAGGAAGATTTTATTTTTTAGTACAAGCAAGTGCTTTCCTATTTATATCTGAGCAAGAAAACTCAGGGTCTGCTGGCTCTGTGACTGTGCTCATTGGAATCAAAGGCAGAAGATTTGGGTCCGTAGGCAGACAGACAGACAGTTCATTACAATATTTTCCAAAGACACACGACAATTCTATGTTTAGCATATTAATATAGTTTATTAACCAAAATGTACGCAGCAGAAAATCATCACTGCACAAACCACTTATGATATCTCCATGGCTCTGTTTACTGCCGATGTCAAATAGTTTTTTTGAAGCCTGACTAAATCAAAGTGGTATAAATGAAAAGAAATCATCCCCCACCCAAAAAAGCTGCTCAATGGCACCTCTGAAATCAATCCAATATGCCAATTATTTTGAATTGTGCTTGGCCACGGGGATGTAATATCATATTTTTGACTATCTGCTGGTGTTATTTGCATTTCTTTTACTATCCCCATTCTACTGCTGTCCATAGTGTTTACTGACTGTAAATTCCATCTTGGTGTGTATAATGAATTATATGCTCTTGTATATTTAGATAAGTAAGAGACCACTCTATTTAAATGGATTAGGATAATTTATGCCTCTCTAGGAGATAGGAACTAGATTTGTGCAAGGTGAATAAAAATCAAACAGGGTTTTGGTTTGCAATTTCATCTTTATGCTGCTGGTGAAGATTCTCAGTAATGCTTGCATAAAATTATGTGCTGTAAACTGAATAAAGCTTTGTGAGCCAAACTCTGCCTTGACTTTATAATCAAATGGAACGGATTGAAGTTGTTGGAGTGAGTCGTGACAAAATGTGGACACAAGTGGAAAAAAAACCCAACAGATACTGCAGAGGAGGTCCTAGTACTCCAAAATCATTTGGGTTTTTTGGGGCATGTATATGGCAGGAAATGTGTCTCTCTCCCACCCCAGGATTGTGACTTTCAATGCATACAAAACATGCAGCAATGGAGAAAATTGCAAGGAGATTGCCTTTCTTCAGGTGACAATCTTGACATAAATTTGAAAGCAAAAATCATGTTGATTTTCTAAACAAAAGGTACCAATAAATGTAGAAATTAAACTAAGTTGATTTTCCAAATAGACAGGCAGATTCCACAAGTAACTCCACAGACTGTACGCACTGGGATCAGAAATAGCAAGTAAGGGCAGTATGAAATGACTGCGCTGAGTGGATTGCCTTATGTATGGGATAAAACACTAGATGCAATGGCTTTGAAAATGAAACACATTTCAACAATTGACATGGTTCTGTCCTTCTAGGGAAGTTCAGAATCTTCATCTTTTCAAATTCAAACAGGTATGAGATGTCTAATGTGTGTGGGGAAGGGATGGGGGAGGGGGATAAAGGGAAAAACCAACATTCACCATCATCCCAGAACTAGCAATAGCTTCTGAAGTTGTTAGGAATAGTATATAGCTAACTAGCCAAATTTACCTGCTGTTGCTCAGGTCATTAAGGAGGGGCACAGTCCCTGCCCCCCTCCCCGCACTCCTCCAGTCCTGCAGCCCATCCAGGGGAGGGGTGCAATGAGGCTCTGGGGACCGGTCCTAGCCTACAGCTACCCTCTCTGGCCTTGTAGCTGGAGCTCCAGGCTGTCTCTGACCTCCAGCACAAACCCCTCCCCCAGCCATGCAGCTGGTTCAGGGGGCCAGCCTCTAGGGACTGGCTATGGCATCCAGCTCCTCCTCTGCCCTGCAGCCCATGAATGGGGCTAGGGTTTCCAGGTGTCCAGTTCTGAACCGGACAGTCCAGTATTTGAACTTTCTGTTCAGGAAAGAAATTAAGAAAATATAAATGAGCAAATATAAATGTCCAGTATTTTCTAAATAAGATGTACAGCCGGTCCCCGAATTACGAACGGTCGAGTTACGACTGTTCGCATTTATGACCAAACCTCCCATGGAGTGGTCGTAAAGGTGGCCCCCGAGCTACGAACGCGACCCGCGCTTATGAACAGCATGGTCGCTATGTAACTCAACGGGGTCCAAGTTACGAATGGATCGAGTTATGGCCAAGTGTTTGGTCCGTAACTCATTCGTAACTCAGGGAGAGGCTGTAATGTAGATTGTGATGTAATGTTAAGTGAGTCCGGTATTTTTGTTGAAACCATCTGGCAACCCTAGATGAAGCTCCAGGGGCTGCCACTGGCCTCCAGAGGGCCTGCAACCCGTCTAGGGCCAGGCCATGGTTTCTAGCCCTGGCCTCTCCTCTCGGTATGGGAGGATGGGGAGTGAGAAGGGGAGGATGGGCCTGGTTCCCAGCCTCTCCTCTGTAGGGTATCACTTGGATAGGGGTAGGGAATCCAGGGGGCATTATTTGCGGTGGGGGGTACCTGGGAGGGCTCTCCTGTGTTAAACATTAATTTCGTACATATTTGTGCATGCAGTTTTGTACGTTACTATTTGTGCACATCAGCAAGGGAATTTGTATGCCCAGAGCCAGTTTCTGATCTTAGGTAGGCCAAAGTAGCCCCAGAGTAACTCCACTGTCTTGAAGTGAAATTGAAACTGACCAATTTTCATTGCTC